ATTTTAATGAGAGGAGACAAATTGCTTCCTCTTTCTTAGTGTGACTGTAAATAAGAGTCCTCATAAACCTTGTTCAGGAAATGTAGTGAGGGTAACAGGAAGTGATTAGAACAATAGACTTGTTTTCATTACTTATGACATTTCGGTCTTACAGTTAAACATATACCAACTGTTAGAAGGATTTTGTTTTTACAGCCTTTTATCTGCTTTTGTTCCTAATGATTCCCTGTTTCAAGGGATGGTGTGCCTGGACAGCTCTTATTTCTATCAGGCGACCCTTTTTTATTCCAAATATTCTTCCACATGATGCATTTTTTAACATAGTGCTTTCTGAAGACCATGAAATTTCAGACACACAAAGGAAAGAACAGTAACGCCTAGCTTCTGCTCTGCTTTGGAATATACCTATTTGGGAAGCTTAACTATGAAATGCTACATCAGTTTGTATCTCGTCCTGGTATGTTTTGACTCAGGGGACTGGAAGTAAGTTACCTGACTCCCTGTTGTTATTAGAAGAGACTAATTGTGGAATTTATGAAAAAAGTTACGATTTACTTTCCAAATCTCTCTTCCTGCCTCTTCATCTTCTCACCTACAACTTTGTTTCTTTCAGTATATATTATAGGATTGACCAAAGGTTTCAAAACTGTGTAGAACAGTGGTTATTAATTTTATTTTTTTTAATTTAAAGACTCTTCTTTAACATCAAAAATGTTTTTCAGATCCCCACATGATGATTAATATATTTGGGAAGATACATGATGAAAAAGCTACTGGGTATTTAGTAATAATTTTGAATGAAGCTGTGTTTTATTAGTCACAGTAGCTTGTCCATAAATGTGAATCACAGTATTACCTAATATATTGTGAGGTGTTATTCACTGGTATTGCAATGCTGTGTAAATATGGATTTGTGAACCTTTCCTACTACCATGTCAGATTCTCAAAGTCTGGGAACTGGAATAGAATGGATTCCTGATGAGTACCTGCTATGTTGGGCTTGGCATTTCAATATGTATTACCTTATCTCCAGTGTGATATAGTATTTGACCCACGAGTTGCTTAGAAGTCTATGGGATTTTCTTGGTTTCTTTTGTTATTGATTTCCAACTGTATTACATACATTGTAGTCAGAGAATATAGTCAGATGATACCGATCCTTGGAAATATTCTGATATTTGCTTTATGACTTAGCAAATGACGAATGTTTGTAAATTTTCCATGTAGACTTGAAATGGATGGGTTTTCTCCAGTTGGTGGATGTTAGATTCCAGATAATTCCATTAAATCAAACTTATTAACTATACTGTTCAAATTTTCTTTATACCTACAGAATTACTGAAAAAGTTGTGTAAATCTCCCACTATGGTAGTAGATTTCTCAGTTGCTCCGTGTAGTTTTGTAAGTTTTTGTTTTATATAGTTTGATGTTATGAGATAATATATAAGATACTACTTGTTTAAAAGTATATTTTCCTGGTGAATCCAACCTTTTTCAGTATGTATTAACTCTCTACATTTTTTTCTTTCTTCTTGGTCTATTTCTAAATATTTTCTCTTAGTCTATTTTATATCATTATTTTGTACCATATTTTGTGAGTGGAAGTAGAGGGCTTAAGTGTATGTTTATTGTATATTTTTCCTCTCAATCTTTCCACTTCCTTATGTTTTAAAATGTGTTGCTTTTAAACAGCCTAAGTCTAAATTTTTTGTCTTATCTTTACACAGTCTGAAAATTTTTCTCTTTTCAGTTCAAATTTAAATCCATTTGTATTTATTATAGTACTGATATATTAGTTTTATTTTATTCACCCACTAACCCTGTTCCATGAGAAAGAAGAGTTAAATATAGTTGCAAACTCAAACAGTAATCTTTGAATGTAAACCATGGTTTACAGTCTCCTGACTCAAGGCCATATTTTCTTTTATTTTGTTTTTTCCCAAACCTATGCTACAACCTCCTCCTTGCAGAAGCCTTGAAGAGATAAATATATTCATCCTACCTTGTAGCACTGGTTGGATTTTGTAAAATTAGTGACTATTGTTAAGAGTTTGGGACTTTGTTATCTTATATACATCCTGTTCATGAGGAGCATAGCAATCAAGTAAATCTAGGAATATAGGAATATGATTCTTTAGGTTTCTAGAATGAATATTCCAAAAATTGTTTCCCTGGATCATTCTTAGAAATAGAAACTTACTTGTGAAATTCCCAATGACAACCCATCCAAGCACAACTCTAAATTTTTTGAAATGTCCACAGTGCCTTCTTGTATGCTGCTAGAGTGACCTCCACTACAGTCATATTTAATCATGTCACTTCCCTACTCCACATCCTGCAGGATAATACATGAACTCCTCACCAAAGCAGTTCTGTCACATCCCTACTTTACCTCACCCTGCTTTACCTCTCATCACCATTGGACATAGTCAGTTGCCTCTAGTTCATGAAAATGTCTCATCCAGCCTCGTAGCTTAGATTAACATATGAGGGGGTCTTCAAAAAGTTCATGTAAAGATTTGTATTATCGTTTAATTCTATTTCTCTATTGAACTTTCTGAAGCACCCTATGTACACTGACAACTCATGGATATATATCTTCAGCCTGGCTATTCTTCTGGATTCCAGGCTCATTTATTCAGCATCCCAAATGTGAAGTGTTTTAAAGAGGAGCTTTGTATTAAATCCTCTAATACTATCTCTTCCCTGGCCATCCCTATCTCAGCTGTGCAAGTCCAAAACTTAAGAAATTTCCACGATTCTCTCTCTCATACCCCACGCCCAAGCAAGTTCCCATTGACAGTACCTTCAAAAGATGCCTGCCGTCTGCTCCCTGTCATCATCCTGGTTCCACAGCCCTCATGGAGGCACTGTCATCTCTCACTTGAATATCTTCAGTGTCTTCCTCACTGGTCTTCCTGTTCTTTCTACAGACAGTTCTCATAGCAGCTATAAAGATCTTAAAAATGTAAACAATTGTCTTTTCTCTAATTGAACCCTCCAAAAACTCTCATAACACTCCAAATAAAATCCAAAAGTCCTTCCCTGATGGCCTACAGGGCTGCTTATGAGAGCCTTTCCTGTCTCTCTGGGCTCATGTTCTTCCACTCTTTCTTTTGCCTGCTGTTCTCTAGTCACATTGGCCCCTTGTCCTTCACACACATCAAGCACATTCCCTTCTCTCTCCCTGAGCTGCTCTTCTCTCAGATACCTCCATGGCTCATCCTCTCACTTTAGTCAAAGCTCTGCTCAAATGTCACTGTCTCCAGCTGCTTCTGGCAGCCTGTCGAAGATAGCACCTGTATCAGTCAGATATTGCTGCATAACAGACAGCCACAGAATCTCAGTGGCATACAACGGTACACATCTCCAGGTCAGCTGAGGGGTAGGATTGGGTTGCTGCTTTGCTTCAAGCTCTGGATCTGTCTGGGCTTGGCTTCTCACTGCAGTTTGCCCTCATATCTGCTCCATATCTTTCATTTTTGTTTCTCTAGGTTATGGCATGGAATAGGTGCTCAATGAATGTTTGCTGAATAAATAAGTAGAGATATGAATAAATATAAGAAATTAAGGGAATAAATGAATGGATACAGGGGGTCTTCAAAAAATCCATGGAAAATGAGTATTATAAAAAAACTATGCATGTATTGCAAAATTTTTTGCAGTAGAATAAACTCGTACTAACTCATTATGACATGTCTGAACAGGATCTAGTTTGAGTAACTAAGGACAAGACATCAGTTTGAAAGGAACCTCTATCAGAGCAACATGAAATCTGCTAAAAAAATGAAGCAAGAACAAACATCTATAGTGAAGCTTGGGTGGAAGAATGGTGAAAGCATTGATGCTTTACAAAAAGTTTATGGGGACAATGCCCCAAAGAAGTCAACGGCTTACAAATGGATAACTCATTTTAGGAAGGGACAGTACAATGTTGAAGAAGAAACCTACAGTGGCAGACCATCCACATCCATTTGTGAGGAAAAAAATTAATCTTGTTTGTGCCCTAATTGAAGAGCGCCAACGTTTAACAAGAGAAACAACAATCAACACCACAGACACCTCACTTGGTTCAGCTTACACAATTCTGACTGGAAAATTACAGTTGAGCAAACTTTCCACTTGATAGGTGCCAAAACTGTTGTACCCAGATAGACTGCAGACAAGAGCTGAGCTTTCAGTGTAAATTTTAAACAAGTGAGATCAAGATCCTGAAGCATTTATTTGAAGACTGTAACTGGAGATAACACATGGCTTTACCAGTATGATCCTGAAGACAAAGCACAATCAAAGCCATGGCAACCAAGAGGTGGAAGTGGTCCAGTCAAAGCAAAAGCGGACCAATCGAGAGCAAAGGCCATGGTGACATTTTGGGAGGGATATTCAAGGCATTTTGTCTGACTTTCTGGCATGTCAAAGAATGATAATATCTGCTTATTAGGAGAGTGTTTTGAGAATGTGAGCCAAGGCTTTTGCAGAAAAACTGCCAGGAAAGCTTCACCAAAGAGTCCTTTTCACTATGACAATGCTCCTGCTCATTCCTCTCTTCCAACAAGGGCACATTTTTGAAAATTTCTGTAGGAAATCATTAGGCATCCACCTTACAGTCCTGATTTGGCTCCTTCTGAATTCTCCTTATTTCCTAATCTTGAAAAATCTTTGAAGGCACCCATTTTTCTTCAGTTACTAATGTCAAAAAAAAAGAAAAGAAAACTGCATCAACATGGCTAAATTCCCAGGATCCTCAGTTCTTTAGGGATGGACTAAATGGCTAGTGTCATCACTTACAAAAGTGTCTGGAACTTGATGGAGAGAAATAAAGTATACACTTTTTATTTACCTTTTAATTCCATTTTTCTGCAAACTTTTTGAAGTTCCCTCATATAATAGACTTTAAGTGAAATAATTTGCTTCACCAACACTCATCTAATGTGTGAAATGATTGCTGTAAGAACCTGAGATAATTCTTCCATATCTTCTATTTATGTTTATGTGTTCAGATCAGAGAACGGGCACGTGTTTCTCCGGCCTGGTGAATGGTCGCTGTGCACAAGAGCTCCCTGGCAGAATGACAAAAACGCAGTGCTGCTGTGAGCCCGGCCGCTGCTGGAGCATCGGATCCATTCCTGAGGCCTGTCCTGTCAGAGGTTCTGGTGAGCAGCTGGATGCTAGTCTCCCCAGGACAGACATTGTTAGGAAAATTAGTAATAGCAATGTTCTTTGCTTTTCTCCTTGAAATCAAGTCATATTTGTATTTCTGTTAGTTTCCTCAGTATGACTTGGGTGTTTTTGTTGGGGATAGGGTGGCATTTTTTATTTGGGATCAGTTTTGATAATACCATTTAGTAATATTAGACAAATTCCTGAAGCTGATTGACTTGTTTTTGTGCACATATTTAAAAAAATTGTTTGAATGTCAGTATTTCAATTCAGTTTTTAAATCTCCTAATCTTTCATTCCATAGCTTGAATATCTTTGAATAACAAGGTTGTGCCTTCATTTATGTTTTAGTTCAGGAATACCCTCAGCTTGTAGTGCCCCAATCCTGGAAGATATTTCCTCTTTTCTGATGACCTTGAAAATTAATAATACATGGGTAGAAGGATACTTCCCATTCATTTTGCTGTATTAACTGCCATATAAATGAGGCTATATTGGGAAATTAGGATGAATGAGAAGTAGCTCTTTTTATACATAACATGAATAGTAAAGTATGATTAATGTTTATCACATAAAAATATATTGATATATTTTGTTACTTTTTATATCAAATTAATTTTTCATAACAAATAACAGCAAACAGCTAAGAAAATAAGGCAATTGCTATATTCTTGCTTCTCTTCACTCAATTTTATACTTGGGCAAATAAGGAGCATATTAAAAAGCTTACTAGATATTGTCTACTATTAAAATCCACATTAGAAAAAAATATTATTCTGGAGACTTATTAGTACCTAATCCCTTAAGGAGAAGAAAAAAGATAGGAAAAATGTATAAGTGTAATACTGATGAGGATTTAAGTAAAACCAGATTTATGGAATGAATTACCTAAAGCTTTAATTTTCATCCATTCAAGTAAATTTCTTGCATTCACAGTTACGTCTGGAATTTTATGAGTTGCTCTTAGGTGGGGGCATAAAATAAAAATACACGTATAAACGATTCTTTGGTTATGCAATTCAGTTAAAAGAATGTGGCATATAGGTTTCAAATTTTTTTCTGAATCACCTATACATTTCCCCTGCTACTGCCAGCATTGAAAACATTTACAAGATAGTAACCTACTTAGTTAAGCTAAAATGATCTATTACATCATACCAATTGCTTTTATTCTGCAAAAAGACATTTATTTTTGTATAACTATACTATCTCTTCTTCTAGAGGAATATCGCAGACTTTGCACGGATGGACTTCCAATGGGAGGGATTCCAGGGAGTGCTGGCTCCAGACCTGGAGGCACTGGGGGAAATGGCTTTGCTCCAAGTGGCAATGGCAATGGCTATGGCCCAGGAGGGGCAGGCTTCATCCCCATTCCTGGAGGCAATGGCTTTTCTCCTGGCGTTGGGGGAGCAGGTGTGGGGGCCGGAGGACAGGGGCCTATCATCACTGGACTGAGTAAGTGGTCATGTTTCCTGTGGACTCTTTAGTTTCTGCTTCAATAGCTAACATACGAATATTTTTTATTTTTCAAAAGGGGTATGTGTGTGTGCACATGCATGTGTGTTTTTGTGTGTGCGTAAAAACCTATTTCAGAGTCTAAAATACAGTAATACTAAATTTAGGAAAATGTAGTAGGAAAATATTATTTTTCTGATGTGTAAACTTTCTGCTAACTTGGAGAAAAGAATGTGTGACCCGGGCTTTCTTTGAAAATGCAAACGAAAACCCAGTAATACTCTAATCCAGATGACGCCACCAAAAAGCATGTTTTTGATTCCAGTTTATTTCATTTGGCTGTTTGCAGTTGCCCTATTCATGCACCCCTTGAATTACTTTCCAGAACGGTTTCTCAACTGAGATAAACTGAATAAGTCTTGCTCTGAGCCTATCCAAATATTGTAATGCACATATCATTCTTTTCCTCACCCATTTTTGTTAAATTGCCTAAGAAATCGAGAACCGTGGACTAAAGAGGAGAATTGGCATTCATCTACTTGACATTTAAGTTTATTCTTTTTAAAAGCACTGCTCTTGCTAATAATATTTAATGATGTCCCACAGTGTTATATTTATTCTTTTTGGCATTCTGCCTATTTACTATATCTGAATATTCAGCAGAGTTGCAAAAAAGAAATGGAAAGCACTCAAATGCACAGTAGAACATTCCTGAAATTTTAAAAAGCCATCACTGTGGGCACAGTTTCCAGATGTGTAACTTAACAAATGCAAGTTACAACCATGTGTCTCAAGAATATTTTTTAGATTCACCACATTAAAGTTTTAGTAAAATACAAGTGTAGAATAATGTGGGCTTCTGATATACATGAACCTGATTAATTTACCATTAGATATTCTTTTAAAAATCAACTTTAAGAAAAGTAATGCATGTTGTAATGATTAAATGTTACTTGTGTGTTAACTTTCCATAGCAATTCTGAACCAGACAATAGATATCTGCAAGCACCATGCTAATCTTTGTTTAAATGGACGCTGCATACCTACTGTTTCTAGCTACCGATGTGAATGCAACATGGGTTATAAGCAGGATGCAAATGGAGATTGTATAGGTGAGTTCATGATTCTTTAATGCTTCTTAGTTTTTAATAGCTGTTAGACTTTAGTAATAAATTGGACCGGATATGATTTATGAAAACGTCTTTAGAAGTAAAGCTGTTATCTAAGCTGTCTCTCCTTTGCTATTCCATATGCCCCTCTTAACCCACTGCTGAGCCAGGTCATTTCAAGAATTTCCCACCGTTTCAGGTCCTAAATGTTTTGATTTCTTTCCTTGTTAGAATTGCTTACTCTTAAGATAAGTTAAAGATGAAAAGGAATCTCCATAACAGTGAATATGTCTTGAAAATGATTTGTGGAGCGTGAATCCACTTTAAAAGATGACAAGATAGCAAAGGGCTACTAAAATCTGATCCTCTAGGTCAGTAGTTCTTAAATGTTTTTTTAAGAACTAGAAGAAAATTTCAAAACATTTATTTATTCATTTAAAAATAACGATAATAAACCCATTGCATGTTAATATAAGTAACATTTTTATAAAAAACTATATTTTCCGAAACAAAACTTATTGAAATGAGTGTCATTGTTTGCACTTTTGCAAATCTCTTTAATAAATCGCCTTAATAATGGTCAGCTGGATTCTCATATCTGCTTCTGTATTTAAGCTGTTGTGATATGTTGGTTTGGTTGACGAATACAATGAAAATGCATCCACAAACAGATATGTAGTTGGAGAAGGGGAGGAATATCTTGTTGGCTTTTCAGATGATTGGGGATGTTTTTCAATTCTTAAAGTTTAATTGCAGTGTAGAATTTGAAACCATATCAGTAAACTTTTGGAACTTTGTTACATTAAGTCCACTGGTGTCTTGTGCTTTCAATGGATTTTGTAACATGCAATGGTCACTTGGAAATTTATTGGTTCACTCTGCTATGCAGATCTTTCTAAAGTTGACATATTTCACTCTGTAATATCAAAAAATTACATTTGATAACATCACTGTCAAACTCATTAGAAATGCCTTTGGATATTGGGAAACTGTCATGCACACAGTGGTGAGTACATTTTCTGAATTCTGTCACTTTCAAACTTGAATTTTAACTTTAGCATTGAATACACCTTGTTGTTTTCCTTAAAGTGACAGGTTAAGAAACTGCCAGATTCACAAGTCTGAATAACTGTAATTTGTCAGTCACTCTTCAAGTAAAAATAATATTCTGTGGAAAAAAGCTATTAATTTATCACCCAACTCAAATAATTGCATAAATGCTTTTCCTTGAGACGCTCATGATACTTCAGTCAGCAACAATGTTCATTTTGTCAGAGAGATTAAAAATATGCATACTCAACGGTCATGACTTAATACAAGTAAGTGTTTTGCTTCATCAGTGATATTCTTAAGCGAAAAGGCTTTTTTTTTAATGCGCTTTGATTTCATGGCAGTGGCTACCAGGACAGTTTGGTGCCACTATCCTAATTTGTGCCCAGGCACTACTCTTGCTTTGGCACCATCAGTGCAAATGTTCACATGATGAGAAAGGTAAACAACATCTTAATGTGGTTATGAAAATGGTTTTGAGTCAAGGACCCCTGAAAGGGATCTCAGTGGCCTCTCGGGTCCCACAGACCGTACCTTGAGAAGAGCTGCTCTAGAGAGTCCCCAGCTAAGAAAGTCCCCAGCCAGGTCAGATATGAAAAGTTTATCAGTGAGAGAGTTGTGTGGAACTCACGAGACATTTCCCACAGATTCAGTGGTAGGTTTGGCAGTTCTGATTCCTCAAATGCCACGTTAATTGATTTGTACTCATGAACGATGACCTGTACAGTAGTGGCATGGTAAGAAGAGAGGCAGCAACAGACATCTTGTCCAACAGCAGGGTCTGCAGTAGTTAAGGGTTACATGAGTATCGGTGTAGAATAAGGAATTTCCCCACGGAGTTAAAAAAAATTAATATATCCACATTTTTTCCCTGCCTTAGTTCTGAACCAGTTGAAAGATAGACAAGGAATCCATTCTATATGAAGTTCTTAAGATTTTGAAAGCTGCAGCTCCATATACTGTTGAGGCTCCCCATTTGTGCTTGCTTAGTTTGAAGTCTTGAAGCTGTTGGTCACGATCTCAAGATGTACCCCATGTTTGCAGACACTAGTCAAAGCTGTAATTAATACCCCCCAACTTAAAGCCAGCTATAAGTTCATGAAGAGCCTTGTTTTTTTCAAGATTTTTGGTCCCCAGATGCTACTCCTTGAATATTTTCTGAATTTTTCCCAGCCCATGCACCCTATGTTGAAGAATAAAGGGACAACTTAAAGCCAGCTATAAGTTCATGAAGAGCCTTGTTTTTTTCAAGATTTTTGGTCCCCAGATGCCACTCCTTGAATATTTTCTGAATTTTTCCCAGCCCATGCACCCTATGTTGAAGAATAAAGGGATTCTAAGCATTTATTTATTTTTTAAAAAGGCAGGAAGATGAAGCTGTAAGGTAGGCTGTGAGACAGCTGCAAAAGACCTTGTGGATCATGCCTTATATCAAGGGTGTTGATGACTCCAAAAGGTGTTGATGGCAATATGATCCAAAATGACACGGTCGTATTGCTTTTTAGATGAATCATGGTGGAAGTGGTGTACAGATTTTTAAACCAGCTTTATTGTGGTATAATTCAGATACTATAAGTTGTATATATTTGAAGCATCCAATTTGCTAAGTTTTCGTATGTGTATATACCAATGAAATCATGACCACAGTCAAGATAATGAACATATTCATCACCCTCAAAAGTTTGCTTTTGCCCCTTTATAATCTCCCCATCTTGCTCCTCCTGTCCTCTGTCCCCAACTCCCGACCTGTCCCCAGTAAGTGATCTGTTACTCTACATTAGTTTGCATTTTATAAAATTTTACATGAAGAAATCATAATGTTACATAGCCTTTTTGTCTGTCCTCTTTTACTTAGTATAATTATTCTGTGATTCATTCATGTTGTAGTATGAATAAATAAATGATTTTGTTGCTGAAAAGCTTTCCATTTTTTATATATTCCCCTGTTGATAGGCATTTGGGTTGTTTCTAATTTTTATCATAAATAAAGCTCCTATGAACAATTATGTACAAGTCCTTACAAAGACTTATTTTATTTCTCTTGGGTAAATACCTAGATGTGAAATGGTTGAATTACATGATAGGAGTCCTTTTAACTTTTTAAGAAATTGCCAAAATGTTTTTTAAAGTGTACCATTTTACATTTCCAAAGGCAGTGTATGAGAATATCAGTTCCTCCACAACCCGGTCAACACTTGGTATGGTCAGGTTTTAAAATTTTAGCCATCATAATAGGTATGCAGGGATTTCTCAGTGTGGTTTTAATTCACATTTCCCTAATGATTCACATTAAAATATGTTGACCATCTTTTCATGTGTTTATTTGCCATCTAATGTTTCTTTGGTAAAATGTCTGTTCAAATCTTTGCCCATTTTTTAATTGGATTGTTTTCTTATTATCGCGTTTGGAGGATTCATTGTATATTCTGGATGGATTACTATCAATATTCTTGAGCTTTGTTCTGGGGTACATTAAGTTACTTAGAAACAGTTTGATCTTTTCAGGTTTTGCTTTTAAGATTTGGTAGGTAGGATTGGAGCAGTGTATAATCCAGGGCTCATATTTCCCACTAGTGAGCCATGACCCTCTGTGTACTCTCCCCAGTAGCCCTTGATGTTTTACAGCTGGCTGTTGGGAAGAGGCACTATTTCCAGCCCTGTGTGGTGGCCAGGCACTCTTACTTCTAATCCCTTCCTGTGAGTTGTCTTCTGGTCTTAAGATGTTTCCTGACATTCATATGCTTATCTATGTTCTGCCGAAACGACCTGCAGTCCCCGAGTTCTCTTACTATGCAATTCTCTTCTCTTCATTACTCTATTTTAAAACATCAGGTGGCTTGTGTTAGGACTCTCAGCTCTGTCTTCTGTACTCAAGGAACTTGCTGCATTCTGCCTGGGCTCGCCATGTCTGCACCATGGTCTGAATACTTTCTAAAAGCCACAAGCTGAAATAGTCATGTAGTCACCACATTTGTTTCCCATCTCTCAGGGATCTGTGTTCTCTGTTACCTGATATCCAGTATCTTGAAAATCATTATTTCACATAGTTTGTCCATTTGTTTGTATATTTCAGGAAGGAGGGTAAATCCATCTTGGCTAGGAGCAGAAATTCTTCCTATATTTTCATTGCCAAGATTTTAGCATGAAAAACCTGGAAACAAAGAAGCCAGTTAGGAAATTTTGATAATAATCCCATGCAAGGAACTATGACAACAGTGATGCAGGATTGCAGAACAACAAAATGATTCTACGAGTGTTTGGGAGGCCAGTCTCTGTTGACAGATTAGTCATAGGGCATTAGAGATTAGAAAACTACTATATCTAACTTTCTGTCTCCACAAAACTGGGTATCTGGTGGTGCCATTAACATGCAGAAGAAGGTGCAGATTGAGAAGAGATAGTTATTGAGTCTCTTTTGGACATATTGAGTTTTAGGTGTCTAGGACATTTAATTATAGAGGTCTAATGCTTAGAGGAGTGTTCAAGGCAAGAGTTACAGATTTGGGAGTCAACAACATATAGGTGGCTATTACCATGAGGGTGAATATTGTCACCCAAGCTGAACAACAGGAAAAGTGAAAAGATAACAGCTGTATTGCATCTGGAATCCTGAGGAACAGAAACATTTAAGGCCCTTATTCTAGCTTAGCCCATATGCACCTTTATTCTAGCTCATAGTGCTGACTAGACAGCAAAATAATCTAGAAAGGGTTATGTCACTGAAGCTATGGAAGGGTATACTTTCAAGAGAAAAGTAGGGTCAAGTGTTATAAACAGCAGAAAAATCATACACAGTAAGGCAACAAAAAATCTATTGGATTTGGTAATTAACAGGGTTTTGATTATCTTTTAAGAGTGGTTTTAGGATGATGATAATTGAGCCATTTTGAGGTTATTCTTTTATTTATTCATAGTACTAGCAAATGTTTATATATGGATGTTCCCATAACTAG